ATTTCCTTCAGGAGCAGGATACCTCATGACAGGTTAGCAGTATATTAATTTTATTTATGTGGAAGTCTCTAAACCTGTGGTGTCATACAGTGTCCAAGGAAATAATCAGGTTTGATCCAAATTAAGGGAGGGTTGCTGCAACTCCTTGGATCAGGAGTACTTCAGCATCAGCTCACCCTCTCCCTTCATGAAGGGAGGTTAGCAATAACGTCTTTGTAGGTGGGCATACAGTAATATCATTGAAAGAAGCAGGATTTTTTGCTGACAGGTTGTCACTTTTCGTAGTTGGTCCTGAACAATAGCACTGTGATCAAATCTTGTTTATATGAGGTGTATGTAAACTCTAATTCAAAAGAATTGGGACTAGGACCCTTTTGAAATACCATACACACTTTTTCAAAATGAACAATTCCAGAAACTCTATGGGAAATTTAGCTGTATAGTCTTGTGGCTTAGCGCTTCTTTTTGATTATAATAATAATAATATGGGAAATTTAAAAAGAATGGCAAGGTATGATACAGTACTATTTATTTTTAAAAATAATTGATACAGTTTTTGTGAAAGTATATAAGATCTCTATGGGACAGCACTATGGCTGGTCACAGACCAGCTTATGGTTCCACAGCTAGCCATTGGACCAGCTCACAGCTTAAGCTTTAGTGGTTCTTCATTTTAGAATTGTCTCACAAGTAGCATCTCGTTTTTTTAACTGGTCTATATCAATGACAGTATGTCTCAATGTTATCATTTTAACAGTAATTATGTATACTGCAAGTATTACCATTTACTAATATCTTCAATTACTGAACTCATTAAATGTATTGAAACATTTGCAACCGCATTTCACTCAGGCATAATTGCTAATATTATTGCTGACCACCATCTTACTTTCCTTATTGCAGACATATCAAAAAACACTAGAAACTATGAAAATAAAATTCTGATTACAGAAATCTTATTAAAAACCCCTCTATATAGTGTGATTTTTTTTTTTTTTTTTTTTTTTTTTTTTTTTTTGTAAATGGAAAAATTCATCCAGAATTAAATAGTGGAAAATTTTATACCATTTATTTCCAGAATTTTATACCATTTATTTCCAGAATTAAATAGTACAGAGGGTCCTGCATATACACCGCCCTCTTTACGGTGTTCCATGTTTTCATTGGCTTTCCATTGAGCCATTGTTCATTATGTCAGGGAAGGGCAACCAGCACTTAATATATGATAATGTAAATATGTTATCAAGCATTTTAGACACATTCAATAGTGAAAAAAGTGCTCTTTTCCACTTGTCAGTGATTTTCACTTACCAAACAGGGTCACGAACCTAAGAGCTGTACAAATTGGGCCCTCCTGTACTACGAAGGTTTTTTCCATGTGTTATTCATTTTTGGCTGCACTTTTTCAGTTGCATTTATAGACAATTGAACTATATATATAGAAGCTTTATAAAAAAGCTTACTGTACATAGGAAATCTTCAACATTAAGTTCTGCTGAAGTTGTAAGAAAAACTGACTGTGACTTATATTTAAGAACACTGAAAAAGAAGCATTGAAGGAGTTAGCAGTTTCCTCCAATAAGAAAATCTTGACCTTTACAACACAGCATTCATTGTTAAGCAAGTAAATTCCTGTAAACACAAAAGGCCTACAGATTTGAGGCTGGAGATAGCTACACTATTTGTTCATCTTATAGGTCTGGTTAATTTGTGTTTGTCCATTGCAGTAGAAAATTCCTTGCTAAAGGAAGATCATGAGAATACAAATGATTTAAGGGCACATGGAGTCAGCAAATGTTCTTCACTGAGTGAGGAGGCCTAATTCCCAATTCTGATCACCCTTAACTAACACTCCAAGACTTACATGTTAGATCATTGGAAATTGAGAAACTCCTCAACAGATTTCCCACAGTGCTGAGTGGATTACACACTGGCCTAGAGTTTTACCACTCACTTGCCATGGGTTCAATCCCTACCCATGGTTTGTTTACAGTTGTGTTATTACGATTTCATGAGTCATGATGGCGACTTTGAAGGGACTTTAGCTAGAGTTCACCACAGCCATGCTGGTGGGAGATTCATCTTTAAAAGCTTACATTTTTGGTCAGTGGGGCCCATGCTAGCTTCCCTATGGAGTATAGAAATATACCTAGTTGGATGAATCTTATTGTAGCCAGTTGGTTAAGTGGCTTATGCACTGGCCTAGGGTTTTAGGACTTGCCATGGGTTCAGTCCCTACCCATTCCATGGTTTGTTTGCAATCATCCCATAGAGATTTATAGTAATCTTCAACATCCAGGCCAACACCAGTGAAAGAAGAAATTCATTTACAAACCCAAGTGTTATAAGAAACTTTTCCTTGTCAGGGCTGATTAACTGCCTTGCAAATACAGTATTTTTCTTTACATGATTAAGGCTAAGCTTGATATTTACATAAACAAGATCGCTGAGCTCTTGGATCATATTTAAGTGGACTGTCTCATAATTCAATGGAAGTAAGTCACATTGCTTGACTTTATTAGGTTATCCAAGATAAAATTCTGCATAATTTATTACATAAAACTATTGTAAAAGTTGATTTTTTTTTTTTTTTTTTTTTTTTTTTTTTTTTTTTTTTCAACAAGTTGGCCGTCTCCCACCGAGGCAGGGTGACCCAAAAAAGAAAGAAAATCCCCAAAAAGAAAATACTTTCATCATCATTCAACACTTTCACCACACTCGCACATTATCACTGTTTTTGCAGAGGTGCCCAGGATACAACAGTTTAGAAGCATATACATATAAAGATACACAACATATCCCTCCAAACTGCCAATATGAAAATTATGTATGAGGCCTAAATAAGATTGAAACTAGGAATGATAGAAGGACACCGCACTAAATTTGCAAAAACCAGCATCCTTGAAATGAAATCCATGCCACGTTTTATAGAACTTGTAACATATGATTTTGGATGTATAACACATACATACATAACTCAAAATGTGTATTACTTACATTAAGTTTCTCAGAGGAAATGAGACATTAAAAGTTAATAAAGATATTGTACCATTAATTTATCTGGAAACCAATATTTCAGAAATGGGAATGTTTAAGGTTATTTAAACTTTGTAATAAGTATGCACAGCTAAATGTCACCCATCTCTGTACAAACATTGTATCATGCTGCAATAAAATTATTTTTATTACTAAGGGCCAATTTTCCATTTCCAGGATCCCTTGCCCGCACTGTAGCTGCTGGAAGGTCTTACCTGGCTTCTTACGGGGGTGAAGATGTTAGTATGGGCATCTGGGTATCCTCAGTTGCTGGAAATACCAGGGAAGTAGACATACCTTGCTGGCTGCCACATCCCTACTGCTCACAGACTGTTCTTGTTCCCCAGTTATCTGTAGCTCAGTTGACACAAATCTGGGGTAAAACACATACTAAATGATTTAAAGACATATATGTACAGCAATCTCAAAGAATTCCTTGTTTTCTTTTTAGAGAATACAGTGTGTATTAGACAGAAGTTGGTTTCCATTACTGTTGGAAAGTAGGTTAGGTAAGGTTTGTCAGGAAACAGGAAGAGTGTTTCCTGACATGGTACTCAGCTGGAGGTTTTGGTCATCTGACTGAGGCCTTCTGCTAGCTTACTGGTTCACTCCTTTAAAAATTATGGGTATGATTATAACCATTAGATATTATTGGAGAGTAATGAGCTTGTGTTATCCCATTAATACTTTTTCTTTGAAGAAATTTGATTTGCTTATTAAATATTTACCAAACATTTTTATAACATAATGGCAAAACAAGACAATAAATGCCAGTAAAGTTATTAGGCATCGTCCTTGGACTGAACCTGAATGTAGCATCTCCTGGGGAGATGCTAGATGACCCCTGTGGGTTTAGTGCTCCCCTCCTAATAATTAGGCATCTACTGGCTGTATTTGAGCAAATAGAAATCATATTTTCTTTAGTTCCATAAATATTCATTAATTTTTTAATTTCAGTCTGTAGTATAAGTCTAAATTGAACTCTGTAACTCATGATATTTATTTTTCAGAGTAATTAGAATTGACTTAATATTCTCCCAGTTGTTTTGACACAGGCTGTTACAAACTAAAATTTATTCCTTCAGTTTGAAAAGATGTGTCTCATTCAGACCACTTAATTAAGGGAGGTTTCCTGATGCAGATGATGGGCTCTTAATCCAAGGAACTGGACTTGGCCCTTGTTTCTTTGATTGAACCTGAATACACTTACACATAACCCCTACTTATTTAGCATTTCCCCTAAATACCTTACTCCAAGAGAATTTGCAGGAAGGGCAGCCCCAATTCCTTAGATCAAGAACCATTGGTATCAAGGCACCTTTCCTGAAGGGGTACATCATTTGAGATTCATATCAAATAGAGGGGTGCAAGATGCTGTAAAAATGTTTGATTAAAGGAAGGGGAGCTACCCTCCCATTCCTTTAATCAAACATGATCATCCCCACCCCTCCCATTCCTTAGGCACTGTTTGGTGCTTTCCTATAATCATGTGTTCATGGTGAATGCAAAACCCATAATGATCATTCAGCACAGCAGTATTAAAATAATAATCGTGGGATGATTTGATGAAGGAAAGTAAACTTGTTTATTAATTGAGCTGGAGACTTCCATGAACCTGTCATACATTCAGGGGAGATTCTTTGATGCCAGTAAGGGGCTCTTGATCCAAGGAATCAAGATATAACCTTCACTTCCTTCGATTGAATCCAATTGCCTCAGGTGCCGTATGACTAGTACGGGTTTAGCACTCCCCCATGAATGTAGCAATGTCTCTTAAGGGCTTAGTACTATGCATATTATAATCATAACTAAGTGCTAAACCCATAAGGGGCATATAAAATTATCATGTTTAAGTTGACCATTACATTTTTGCATAAAATTCCATTAATGAGACCAGATGTATTTTTCTGTTTTAGTTATGAATTTTAAAGTATTTAAAGACTGGAGATAGAAAAAACCTTAGATGACAGTGAGGAGTCAATTTATTAACACTTGTACAATTTTTATTCCACAAAGATTAACCTTCATAATTTTTGTGTTACTAAAACTGACGTACAGTATTTTTAGGTGTGTATACAATATGTAATATAGTTTTTTTTTTTTTTTTTTTTTGTATTTCCCATACTCTTTGTACTTTTCATTTAAATATTACTGAAATTTTATTAAGAGTGCTTCCTGTAGGGTACAAAACACTAGTTGTGAACATAAATGATAACAGGGGTAATATAGTGTATTCTACTGTACATTAGAAGAAACTAACACAACAAATTGTGTAATATTAATTAAAAAATATATATATATAATTGTTAAACTTTAATGTTTTCAGAGTCAGTATATGCACATATTTTTGTAAATCTCAACAAAATTAAACCTGAGCTTCCTGGATACTAGGATATGCAGCAATTTTTTTTATGAATACCTCAACGTTTATTTAAGATAGTGTACTTTTATGACATACAAATAGTTAAAAAAAAAAAAACTGCAGTTTTTCAGAAAGGAATGACATTTTGGTGTAAAATTCCCTAAGATTTGGAGTTAATGGTCATGTTGAAAATACTGTATTTGAGAGTAAATGTGAAGTTAATATGATTTTGCTAAATGTTAGTATACATTAGATGAAATATAAACATGGTTTGCTAAATAATATAAGAAAACAGTATTTTGAATGGATACCAGACTTTGGCTATCCTAGTGCTTCACAGTAAAGAGAGTATTACACTGAAAGCAAACATTAGAGAATATCTTGGTAAAGAATATGCTACATTATGGTAACATGTCTTTGGTAATGCACTACATTTATACAGTTTTACTAAAATAGAAAACATATCTATGCAAGGTAAAAACTGTGCAAACCCACCTTAAATGCATTTCACAATACATGAAAATTTCAGCAAGATTAATACTTTTGTAATGTGCCTTTTAACTTTGTTTATTAGCTTAATTGTAATGCTACATAATACCCTTTGTGCAAGATAATGTAAGCATGAGTGTGTGTGTTATTATAATCAGGGGAAGTGCTGTACCCATAGGAATTGTGCACTTCAGGGAATGGGTGGAAATTAGGTTCGATCAGAGGGGAGGACTTATTCACGTCCCTAGATCAAGAGCCGCTCACTGGTATCAAGACACCTTCCTTTAGAGGAGTGTATGTATTGATAGTGTTTTAAAAGCAAATACAGTTTATGCTATTGAAAACTGAATTATTCTGGTTATTGAGAATGCATTGTATGTCAATTCTTCAAATAGAATTAAATACTCTTATGACAAAACTTTCTGCAGAAACATCTTGTATTTCTAGAGAAAATCTTAGAGGGATCCTTGATGCTTTTGAAGGGCTACTGATCCAATAAATGGCAGCCATCCTCCTATTCCTTGGATCAAACCTGATTACCTCCAGTTCAGCAAGTGCTGTACAACTTCCCCCGTATAATAGAAAAATTTAATTAGATTTTTAGTAGAGTAAATGGCCAATAAGCACAAGGTATTAATCATAAATAGCAAAGCATGTACATTAACAGCTGTGTGATCTATACAGGTTCAGCACTGGTTTTTATTAATAATGTACAATAAAAGTGTGATTTTGTGGCAATATTGTTATTACGTGATGAACAGTTTAATGCAGTACGTAAAAATTGTATTGACTAGTAGCAGCTTACAAATCTTTACAAATAATTTCCATTAACTGCAAGCTTAAAAAATACAATATATCATTGATTATCCAGCTCCTTTTTGGGGGAGCAAAGATGCACTGGATTTTCAGCAACATAATTACATACATCATTTTTCCATGGTCCCTTTATTTTGAACATTTCTTTTTCACACTGCATTTATGTGCTGGATCAAACAAGGTTGCTGGATAATAATCAGAAGCTGAATAACCAATGATCTACTGTATATACAATGCCCAAAACATGACTATTTTATTCACTGTCCATAACAACAAAATGGCATTATATTGTGAACCCTTCGAGATGGTTGCTTTCATGCTAGTGAAGGGAGCTTTCATCCAAGGAACTGGGAGCTACCCTTCACTTCGTTGGACTAAACCTGAATCCCTCCCATTCTTTGGGTGCTGTATACCCCTTACAGGTTTAGTGTATCCCTATGAATAAAATAATTATTACATGGCAACATAAAACTTTTCTGTTAAAAGTACATAAATACAATGTATTATAAACCATAAAAAAATATTTTGTATTATGTCCAAACTGTAAAATTCACCATGATGATTTGTGATTGATAAATATTTTATAAATACTGTATTTAAATGTCTTATATATAATAAAATATCTTTTAAGATGGCATACTGGAAAAAATCACAATAAAAGTGATTTTTATAAGTACAGAAAACCTTATATAATTAATACTGTATATTTTTCTCTATCATAATAGAAATAAATACTTAAAGTGCTTAACCAGAGATATCGTGACAAAAAATACATGTACAGTACATAAATATACTGTATAGTAAAATTATACTTTTACATATACATAAGATACTAGTGAAACTTATAAGACAATATGTTTATAAAGTTATGATAAAAAATCTTAAAGGTTAAATTTGAGCTTAAGCTGTGCCAGAGTCCACTCTGTAACATTTAACTCGGCTAGATCCTGTGGCCGTTCAGACAGAGCAAGCTGTAGTTTTTCCAGAAGTCGACCCCATGCCCATCGCTCTTCTCCACATACTAGTGTCACGCTCAGGGTAAATCTAAAATGAAAAGCAGAAGTATTTTGTTTTGCAACATTCCACTAGAAACCTTATTTATAAATACTGTACAGTTAACAATATAACTTTACTCATATCCACAGAAATTATCTCGTATCAAGGCTTTGCACAATCATCTATTTCCCCTCCCCAAATGCTACATGGTAATATTAAAGTATTCATTGTCAACTGTAAGACTAATACAGTTTTAGGACATTTTGTGAATGTAATAATCCCTTCATTCTGTTTAACACAGCCATAACTATCCTTTTTTTCTTTTTCAAAACTTCTGCCATTTCCCACCAAAGTAAGAAAATTATTCATCTCCTGTCTTTCTAGAAGTGCTTAAACATCACACTTCAACTGATCCATAAATTAGTAAACTTTCCACCTATCCATCAAAGTGTAGGACCACTGAACATCCCACCTCCAGAACTCAATAAGATTATATTTACAAAAAAGTACTAAACCCATACAGGTCATGCAGTGCTCCAGAACTCAATCCTATTATCTTATCCACATTCCAACAGCATACCAAATCCCACAAAATAGTCCCTGCTCGCTCATATCTTAATTTTTTTTTTTTTCAACAAGTCGGCCGTCTCCCACCGAGGCAGGGTGACCCAAAAAGAAAGAAAATCCCCAAAAAGAAAATACTTTCATCATCACTCAACACTTTCACCTCACTCACACATATCACTGTTTTTGCAGAGGTGCTCAGAACACAACAGTTTAGAAGCATATACGTATAAAGATACACAACATATCCCTCCAAACTAATATCCCGAAACCCCTCCTTTAAAGTGCAGGCATTGTACTTCCCATTTCCAGGACTCAAGTCCGGCTATATAAAAATAATCTAATATGTTCATATAAAACATCCCCTGAATCACTTTTCATTTTCCCCTTAGATTGATATACCCTTCTAGCCAGCTTACCCTGCTACTTCCCTATAAGTAACCAAATCATAAAAAAACTTCTTCCACTTCTTAAATTAAAAGCTTCATACCACCACATCATTTAATTTCTTCACTGTTCTTTGTGTGGTGCAACATTCAGACCATACATTGATCTCACACACGCACATCTCCCAGCCTTTGCAGACGATGTCTCACCATGTTGGCACTGTACATGTCCTCTCTAATTCTCTCCAATTTTTCATTTGCCTATATAGCATCCTCTATATTAATAGAAAAATTATTATACATAGTAATGAAGATTTCCTTACAAAAAAAAGTATTGATAATATTTAAGGGCTTTTGATACAGACAAATCAGAGTCACCCTTCCCTTCCTCAGATCAATCCCGGTTACCTCTCATTCTCCAAGCACATGACCCCTCTTGAGTTTACCACTCCAGTAAGAAAATAATAATTATAGATCATGAAAAGTGCTATACAGAAAGGGTTGTGTCAAAACTAAGGGCGAGTAGAAAGATATGAATAACTGAAAGTTGGTGCGGCAGATCACCTGTAAGCCAAGAAGAAAACATAGAAGCTGCATTAAAGATGAGACTTTGTGAGGAGAAAAAAACAAAGTAAATACGTGAAGAACACTAAAGGAGGTTAAAAACTGTCAATGTGCTATCTCAAAAAAGGGTACTGAAGGTGGAAAAAGAGTTACTCTGCTTAGAGGTTGATCAGTTCTGAACTGCACCTTCTCTTTCTCTTCTTGATTTCTACTATTGTTACTACTGCTTCTATTACTACTAAATACTGGTACCTCATATATACTGTACTCATTGTAGCCATGATACTATGTCATAGCTTGATAAAACCTAACTACATTACACCTACCCTCTGCTATATTTACTCACATTTTCACTGTATTGGACTGAAAATGCTCCTAGTGACCAAAACATACGCTATTAAGTTTCTAAACATTGTAACTGTTTAATTTACACATTCTGAATATTAGTGTGATACAGTAGGGCTTCTGGAAAGTACTAGTTAGGTCTTACTCACACCCATTCATGTATACTCTCTCGTTAATGTTAAGAGCAATACTTAAGAGGTCTCTGAAACAAGATGGACTCTAATAGGAAAAAACTACATTGAGAGCATTTAGTGGTACTTGACCTGATGGTGGTTTGTTAATTTTTTTGGACTGACTCGCATGGTGAGTATATATCTAAATTAGAATATTTCATTAACACCAATACATAATAGCTGACAATTAAACAAGGATCAAAGATCAAGGCAAAGGAAAAAAGTTTGTTACAAATGTTCACTTGTCCATGTTCACATTCTATTTTGTACTATTCATCACTGAGATATTTGTGTGTGTTTAAGCTGAAATGTCCTTAATGTACCCATCCAGCCAGCATTTAACACCAAATGCTTTGGACGACCATTCATTGCCAATACCAGAGAAGGCAAAATGCCACAAATGACCAGGGATACCTCCATTCATCCTAATTATATCTATCACTGTCTAATACCTGTATCCCTCTTGTCCTACTACTTTCCTTTTTTAATTGCTATCCCTACAGCCTTTACACTTCCCTCTCATAATACAAATATCTAACCACTGCTCATGTGTGCTAGACAACAGGCAGAATTACTGCTGTAGATAAATGGGTCAGAAAAGTTGATAAATAAGACATTTGGGTATCTTTGTGGAAACATGATCAGTGATCACAATGACTCCAGGCTGAGGGATATATTACCTCAAACTCCTTCTGATCTTCCACTATTCTTCTCTATATTGGATTAAGGAAGCCAATAATTGATGAAACATTTCCACAATAAAGATTCCCAAGCATTGCGCAGGTGTCTTAATTCATCAGAATTGCTGTTGCATATAAATGAAATAACAAAAGTTATAGAGATGATTAGGTTTTGACATTCTTGAAAATAATTCAAGAGAAGTTCTCATAGAAAACAGAACATCAAAATTTAAAGACAGCTGCATAAACAGAAATGCATCCTACTACATGTGAAATGTATGAGCTTGATACTAAGAATAAGTATAGCATTATCCAGATAATGTACCTCAGTGGATGATCTGCTGGAGTGTAGTGGTGGTTCTCACTGTCTATGGTGCTGCTAAGTGCAAAAAAAGTGGATGCCACTTCTAAGATATAAGAGGTTTCCAAATAATGAAGGATGGGTACCACTTCTAAGATATAGGAGATTTCCAAATAATGAAGGATGGGTACTCCATCAGAAAGTGGAACAGAATTCTTCCTCCATAAGCCATGCATGTCATAAGAGGCGACTAACATGCCAGGAGCAAGGAGTAGTAACCCCTTCTGTATACATTTACTAAAGTTAACAAGAGAAACTTTTGTTTTTGTTTTTCTTTTTTGGGCCACCCTGCTTTGGTGGTACCACTTCTAAAATACAGAAGGTTTCTAAATAATGAAGGTTGGGTACCACTTCTAGGATACAGGAGGTTTCCAAGTAATGAAGGATGGGTACCACTTCTAGGATACAGGAGGTTTCCAAGTAATGAAGGATGGGTACCACTTCTAGGATACAGGAGGTTTCCAAGTAATGAAGGATAGGTACCACTTCTAAGATACAGGTGGTTCCCAAATAATTAAAAGGTTACGTTCCTGGCATTCCATGGTTACAATTTTTTGTAACTCTTGAATCTAATTTTTACATAAAACAATAGTACAATATATGGTTCATAAATTCTTCCATTATCAAGAAAGGCTAACTGATCTATAATCTAAAAATGTTAATGAATAAAAATAATATTGTCAGCACTACATCTACAAATTTACTAACCGTTTTGCTAGCGTTAGTGCCTGCAGCATGTTTACCACCATGACAACATCACTGACAGTCGGTGTGAACGCCAAGAGTGTGGTGATGGCGTCCCCTAACAAGCCGCCAGCAACCAGGCCCCCGGCTAATCTCTCTGTTGCTTGCGAGGATAAATTGCGCAGTAGCTCGAGCCTTTCTGCCAGATCTAACCGCTCCCACAACTGCACAAGACCTTCAGTAGTGCTTGGTGGATTGTTCACATCCTACAAAATAATATGGTGGTAAATAGAGTTCTGGGCTGACTCACATATCTTTGAAACAGTAATGGTGTGCTGGGGTCAATAAGTTATTCAGCACTCTTATTAACCCTTTCACTGTCGGTGCCATAATATTACAGCTTGCAAGCCAGTGTTGGTGCTGTAATGTTACTCAAAAATTCTAGCAGTTGCCAATCTTGCATAAGAAAGCTGGCAGGCCTACATATGAGAGAATGGGTCTGAGTGGTCAGCGTGAGCAGTATAAAAAAAAAAATCCTGCAGCACGCAGTGCATAATGAGAAAAAAAACTCTGCCTGTTTTTGGTTTAAAACACCTACTTTGCAGTGTATTTTTGTATGGAATTTATGGTTGTATTCTCATTTTCTTGGTCTCATTTAATAGAATGGAAGATATACTACAGAAATAGAGATCATTTTGAATGGTTTATGGACTAAAAGTACCTTGAAATTGAGCTCAAATTAGCAGAAATGTTCGATTTTTGCCGATGTTCAATAGTAAACAAATAACGTCACTCATCCAATACACGTCAACTGGTGGGTCTAATATGCTTTCACAAATGCGCTGATATTTATTTATACCATTTTTACAATAATGCAGTAGTCTGCATAACAGTAAATCTTATATTTTTTTGTGAATAAAAATTCAAAAACAAAGCAAGCGTAATATAAGAGGGGCCTGAAGACATTACTAGTGAACAGAGAAAATGTTATTTTAGTGCTAGGAATGTTTGTATTGTTAATTCTGGATCCTATTTTGAAATTGGCCTTACTTGAACTGTGTATGAAATTGGCCAAATTACCAATTTCTTTCCACTTTATTGGGTAGCTGAAATCTGTAAATGGGCTGTTTCTTGTACTCAATCAATACAACAATTGGAGTTCTAGCGAAATAGTTATGAGTTTGGTCGAGTGGAACGATGAAAATGGCCAAAAATAGGGCTCGAAGTGGGCAAAATTGCCGATGTGTAAATATCGCCAAGATCGCTAACTTCGCAAGTTTTCCATCAAATTTCATACTTTTGGTGTCATTACCATCAGGAAATGGTTCTCTTTCATAAGAAAAAAAAACAAATTTTTTTTTTTAAATTCTTCGACACTGAGAGCAAGTTTGTAAGCAGGGGTCTCGACAGTGAAAGGGTTAATAGTAAAAGGGGTGTATCCATACAATCATACTCACAAGCCAAATTTATCACACCAAAATAAAAATCAATCATAAACAAGCATACACCAACAATTATAATAGCACTGCCATACTTTAGTTTTCTTACTTTTTTATTTTTGGTTTATAAGAAAAAAGCCCATAAGATTAAGGGGTATAACTGAGCAAAAAAAAAAAAAAACTTTTTTTTTAACATGCTGGCTATTTCCCATTGAGGCAGGGTGACCCAAAAAAGAATTTTCACCACAAGTGATAGTATGACACTCATTTATGGTTAGTAATGTACCGTACAGTATGGTCTGTCACTAATTCCACATTCACTTACTTTAATTATAATTTTCAAAATTAGTTTAACAAATACGTACAGTACATTTCCTCATAATTGGTTAATTAATTTTTCTTACAATATTTTGTATCTTCATGGGGGAGAAGAATTCTTCCTCCATGAGCCATGCTTGTCGTAAGTTGACTAAAATGCCAGGAGCAAGGGGCTAATAACGCCTGTATAAATTACTACATATAAAAAGAAAAAAAATGTTTCTTCTTTTTCAGGTCACCTTGCCTCAGTGGCAGATGACCAGTGTTAAAAAAATGTTTTTTTATAGTGACAGCTGTATTATCATCATCAAGGGGTTATGCTATAAGAAGAGTAGCATGTGGCATGGGAGGTAATAGCCCTTGACTCGAGGAAGGGGAGGGTAGCTCCAAATCCTAGGATCAAGTGCCCCTCACCAGCATCAATGCAACCTTTTGAAGGGTGTGATATCAGCATATGAAAGTAAATAAAACTCCAGAAAGTGTAAAAAAAAAAAATAGAAGACACATAATGTGCACCTCGGGATTATTATTATTACATTCAAGGGGAAAGTGCTAAACCCATATGGGAGGGGTCACACAGCACCTGGGGAATGGGAGGTAATCAATCTCAATCAAAGAAAGGAAAGGACAGGTCCAATTCCTTGGGTCAAGAACTTTCTCATAGATATCAAGGTACAGTCCCTGTGGAGACACCGAAATGTTAATAATATAAATATATGAGCTGTTGGAGTGTAGACAGGGTGATATTTTCTGAAGGAATTCAGGGAAACTGGTTAGCCAGACTTGAGTACTGGAGGTGGGAAGGACAGTGTCTGCACTCTAAAGAAGGGGGCTGGGATATTTTCTGTTTAGAGATTTCTAAACTTTTATATCTGCATGCCTCTGGCAAGACAGCGATAGTGTGAATATTGGTGAAAATGTTTCTTTGTTGAGTCACTCTGCCTTGGTGGGAGCTGGTGAGGGACTCTTGATCTAGGTAATTGTTGAGTCACTCTGCCTTGGTGGGAGCTGGTGAGGGTCTCTTGATCTAGGTAATTGTTGAGTCACTCTGCCTTGGTGGGAGCTGGTGAGGGACTCTTGATCTAGGTAATTGTTGAGTCACCCTGCCTTGGTGGGAGCTGGTGAGGGACTCTTGATCTAGGTAATTGTTGAGTCACCCTGCCTTGGTGGGAGCTGGTGAGGGACTCCTGATCTAGGTAATTGTTGAGTCACCCTGCCTTGGTGGGAGCTGGTGAGGTTCTCTTGATCTAGGTAATTGTTGAGTCACCCTGCCTTGGTGGGAGCTGGTGAGGGACTCTTGATCTAGGTAATTGTTGAGTCACCCTGCCTTGGTGGGAGCTGGTGAGGGTCTCTTGATCTAGGTAATTGTTGAGTCACCCTGCCTTGGTGGGAGCTGGTGAGGGACTCTTGATCTAGGTAATTGTTGAGTCACCCTGCCTTGGTGGGAGCTGGTGAGGGACTCTTGATCTAGGTAATTGTTGAGTCACCCTGCCTTGGTGGGAGCTGGTGAGGGTCTCTTGAGCTAGGTAATTGTTGAGTCACCCTGCCTTGGTGGGAGCTGGTGAGGGTCTCTTGATCTAGGTAATTGGATCTGTGATCCAGTTCCCTGAATTAACCCTGAATACCTTCCACATCCTCCCACAGGCGATGTATAATCCTACGGGTTTAGTGCTTCACCTTGAGAGACAGCCAGTGTGTTTAACCCTTAAATGGTCCAAACATATATATACGTTTTTTCAACATCTGAAAGTATGTAAAAAAATGTAGATCTTCTTTTTGGTTGTACATTTGAAAACGTGTAAAAAAAACTTTTATCTACATTTTTTTTTGTTACATTTGAAAATATGTAAAAAAAAGTAGATCTACTTTTGTAGCACTACGAATTTGAACGTTGATCTGTTTGGACCGTTCAAGGGTTAAAAACAGTACGAGGAATAGTATACTCACAAACTGTACATCAGTTGGATACACAGAGTTTTCAGTATCCTGCGGAGGTGGCTTATTACCCTTTTTTGTTGCTGAAGAAGCTATAGAGTTCCAGATGGATGGCCGGACCTTACTTTTGTCATTTCGATCAAGTGGCTTTAGATGAGCACCTGAAATTTAAAAAAAAAAAAAAATGGTTCTGACTTTTTCTCATCAAAAGGATCACTGAATTATGTACACTGAATTAGGTATTCTCTGCATTATATTCACACCACACATTGCCCTCAGACATGACATCTCCACTGCCTCCAGCCTTCTCGCTGCAACATTCATCACCCATGCTTCACACCCATATAAGAGCATTGGTAAAACTATACTCTCATACATTCCCCTCTTTGCCTCCAAGGACAAAGTTCTTTGTCTCCACAGACTCCTAAGTGCACCACTCACTCTTTTCCCCTCATCAATTCTATGATTCACCTCATCTTTCATAGACCCATCCGCTGACACGTCCACTCCCAAATATCTGAATACATTCACCTCCTCCATACTCTCTCCTCCAATCTGATATTCAATCTTTCATCACCTAATCTTTTTGTTATCCTCACAACCTTACTCTTTCCTGTATTCACCTTTAATTTTCTTCTTTTGCACACCCTACCAAATTCATCCACCAATCTCTGCAACTTCTCTTCAGAATCTCCCAAGAGCACAGTGTCATCAGCAAAGAGCAGCTGTGACAACTCCCACTTTGTGTGTGATTCTTTATCTTTTAACTCCACGCCTCTTGCCAAGACCCTCGCATTTACTTCTCTTACAACCCCATCTATAAATATATTAAACAACCACGGTGACATCACACATCCTTGTCTAAGGCCTACTTTTACTGGGAAATAATATCTATATATCTATATATATATATATATATATATATATATATATATATATTGGCAGTTTGGAGGGATATGTTGTGTATCTTTATATGTGTATGCTTCTAAACTGTTGTATTCTGAGTACCTCTGCAAAAACAGTGATAATGTGCGAGTGTGGTGAAAGTGTTGAATGATGATGAAAGTATTTTCTTTTTGGGGATTTTCTTTCTTTTTTGGGTCACCCTGCCTCGGTGGGAGACGGCCGACTTGTTGAAAAAAAAAAAAATATATATCTAAACGAAAGCCTGTAATTGTTTTACAGGATGGTAGGATTGCTGGTGTCCTTTTTTCTGTCTCATAAACATGCAAGATTTCAGGTACGTCTTGCTACTTCTACTTACACTTAGGTCACACTACACATACATGTACAAGCATATATATACACACCCCTCTGAGCTTTCTTCTATTTATTTTCTAGTTCTTGTTCTTGTTTATTTCCTCTTATCTCCATGGGGAAGTGGAACAGAATTCTTCCTCTGTAAGCCATGCGTGTTGTAAGAGGCGACTAAAATGCCGGGAGCAAGGGGCTAGTAACCCCTTCTCCCGTATAAATTACTAAATTTAAAAAGAGAAAATTTCATTTTTCTTTTTGGGCCACTCTGCCTTGGTGGGATGCGGCCGGTTTGTTGAAAAAAAATATATATATATCTGTAGAAAAAAGAAAAGTATGGCATCGGTTATTAATAACTAGCCCAATGGGATACAAGGATGAACATTCATAGTGCTCTGTACTTATATTTGTAATGTGCTGCGGCCATGTGGAAATACTGTACATTTTTCTCACCAAGAACAAGCTGTCTAAATTCATCGTAAGTTGGTGCTGAGTGAATGGCCCTTAACTTTGCTGCATTTTCTGCTGTATAACGTCGATCTGCATCCAGGCCTGCCCGCAGTCTTGCTTCTAGTTGACTTGAATCCACGCTGCCTTCCCATCCTCCACATGCCATCACGCTATGCAATAAATCACACTATAATAAATAAATATAATTTTTACATGCATATTTGCATTATTTACTCCTTATTATAGTACATACTGTCCCTTAAGGAAAATGGAGGGTACCTTGTTAACAGTAAAGAGTCCTTGATCCTTGGAACTGAAGCTAACCCAGTCCTCATATCAAACTTAATAGCCTCCCATTTTCAAGGCATTGCTTGACTCAAACTGGTTTAGAAATTCCTTCGTGAATATAATAATTATAGTATTCAACGGCGAGTGGATTTAATTGCAAAATTAATGTCAATCAACAGTACAGGTACCGTCAGGCCCCACTTATACAGCAAGTTAGGTTCCAGGCTACTGCTGTAAAGTAAATCATATCCTTTTTTCACTTTCAAATGTATATGAAAGCCTGTTAACATGTTTACAATATCATATATTAAGTAAGCAATAGAGATAGGCCTAAAAAATGCATATACAGTACACACATTACTTACCTTAAAATATTTTTGTCCTTAGCTTATAGTGAGTGGTGAATATATTTATTGTAGGAAGTCTGAATAAGTGAAAAATGGGTACAGTATAATTGAAAACCACTGCATTAGCAAAATGCTGTAAAGCAATGTACTGTAAAATGAGGCCTGCTTGTACAAGAAAAAGGCATTCCTCAAATTTATTCATTTCTCAACAAAAATATGCCATATCAAAAATTTCATATCATGGTAGGGTAAATCAAAGAAAGAAAAACACTCACCATCATTCATTAACTAGCTGTCTTTCTAGACATGCACACATATCACGATTCATATACAGGAGAGCCCCTCTTATACAGCAGGTTAGCTTCTGGGCTACTGTTGTAAAGCAAAAATCACTGTAAAGTGAATCATAGCCTTTTTTTTCACTTTCAAATGCATATAAAAGCCTGATAACATGTTTACATTATCATATATTAAGTGAGCAATATAGCTAGGCCTAAAAAAATGCATATACAGTACACAAATTACTTACCTTAAAATATTTTCATCCTTAGCTTATAGTGAGTGGTGAATATATTTAATGTAGGAAGTCTGAATAAATGAAGAATGGGTAAGTAAGTAAGTAAGTTTATTCAGGTATACACAAATACAGTTACATAGAATTATCATACACAGCAGCATACGTGTAGAGAACCTGGGATAACCCAAGAAAGTCAGACTGAGTGACTTATTTCCATTGGAAACTGCTGTAGTATTAGTAAAATGCTGTAAAGTGAAGTGCTGTAAAGAGAGGCCCTCCTGTAATCCATTTTTAGTTTTGTAACATATAACATGAGTATCTGAAATCATTCTTTGGCTTAGCCTTAAAACTGTGTACAGGAGGATACAGTTACAGTACTATACTGTATTATTATAACTTTATTACAGGCTTATAAACCATACAAAAACTAGACAGACTTAAGGAAAAATTATTAAACAATGATTGCATAATGCATGCAAATCTTTAATTTTGCACAAAAACTAACTTAGCAACCTACCTGACATTGCAAATTTACATAATACAATTCATCTTAAATAATAATAATAATAATATAATATAATAATAATATCTTTATTTACTACATGTACAAGGTATACAGACCATAGCTGACATCAGTGACATACTGCTATATAGAAAGCCCCTTATGCTGAGTATTTTGGGAAAATTAGGTCCGTTTGTCCTAGGATGCGACCCACACCAATCGACTAACACCTAAGTGCCCATTTTATACTGATGGGTGAACATGGATGGCAGGTGTCTCATGGAAACACGTCCCTAATGTTTTCCAGCCAAACCAGAGAGATTCAAACTCCGGACCTCAGTGTGTGAGCTGAGTGCGCTAGTGATCAAGCTACGGGGATCTACAGTGAATCTACATTTAGATACAATTATTTAACATCACTGAAATACAGTACATACACTATATATGTACATGAATATGCTATTAATTTTTATTTTTTCTCTAACTATAAGAGAAATGAATATTTGGCTTGTTTCAAAAACAATCACAGATTAGTAAGCCAAATCAGCAAGTCTAACCTAAAATCACTAAGCTATACTGTATATGTGATACACGAGATAAAGTAAATACGTAAATGGCACAAACTACCAAGTAGAATAATTGAAGCAATTTTTTTGGATAACTTTAAAAATATAGTAGTAGTTTCAACAATATAAATGGGAATGGCTGGGTGTAAGTTAGACTGAAAACAAGCTACTGGATAGGATAGGATTTAGTTCGGATTTTTAACCCCGGAGGGTTAGCCACCCAGGATAACCCAAGAAAGTCAGTGCGTCATCGAGGACTGTCTAACTTATTTTCATTGGGGTCCTCAATCTTGTCCCCCAGGATGCGACCCACACCAGTCAACTAACACCCAGGTACCTATTTGCTGCTAGGTGAACAGGACAACACGTGTAAGGAAACGTGTCGAAATGTTTCCACCCGCCGGGAATCGAACCCGGGCCCTCCGTGTGTGAAGCGGGAGCTTTAGCCACCAGGCCACTGCAGTATTCCTGTACTTAAGATTAAATTTTTCAACCTGGGTATCTTTATCCTCAAACATTTTATATAATACAGACAAGAACTACATGGCTAAACCTTTCCCTTACATTATTAACCAGAGAGAGTTACTTTCAGTGAGGTTCTCTCCTCTTCTACAGAGTGAAACCCACAAGTCAACTAACAGTGCAAGATGCCAAAGTTGATCCCAACTATCGGAAACCTTTCCTAAAAAGATAAAAATTTCTTGAGAGTGTAAATGCATTCTCTGGAAAGTCACTGAATTGTGGGATCATGACTAAAGCATACAAATGGAAAACAGGATATAGGTGTCCCATAGCTCAATTGCTAGTGCATTCAGCTCACACACTCTATAAGGATTACAATGCTGAGTTTGCAGAAATTTGGTTATTGTGTGGTTTACATGTAGTAAAATAGTGATTACAGAGTGTACCACTAGAACGCTTAGCATGGCTAGGCATTTCGGGGAGACTTAGTTTTATTCTTAATTGTAAAATATTACAAATTATGAGGTAAGTTGGTATTATGGCTAAGTGACTAAATACTAGTTTGTGAGTTTAGCAATGTGAATGCTTTTGTTTTGGCACAGTACATAGTTTCAGTATTGGAGTATCACAGGATTCATTATTTTAAGATTGAGATTAATATTTCTGTTTATGGTCAAATGAGTCAGTGAGTGTAAGTGTGAACCACCAGGTAGTATTCGTGTAGTTAGTTGACGGGGTGTATCAGGGAGATAAGATGTTTTCTAATGGTAGTTTTGAAGGTGATGAATGTGTCTGCAGTTCTAGAGTTCTCAGGTAGGGTATTCCAGATTTTAGGGCCTTTGACATACATTGAATTTTTGTAAAGGTTTAGTCGGACACGGGGAATGTCGTAGAGATGTTTGTGTCTGGTGTTATGCCTGTGGGTTCTGTCACAACTATCAAGAAAGCATTTTAGGTCAAGGTTGATATTAGAGTTTAAGGCCCTGTAGATGTAGATTGTAGATGTAGATTGTAGATGTAGATTGTAGATGTAGATCGGTACAGGTGGAAACATTTGAACATGTTTCCTTAAGACACCTGCTGTCCATGTTCACCTAGCAGCAAAACAGGTACCTGGGTGTTAGTCGACTGGTGTGGGTCGCATCCTGGGACAATATTGACCTTATTTGCGGGAAATGCTCTACATAAGGGGCTTTCTATATAGTAATACGCATGTCATTGATGTCAACTATGGTCTGTATACCTTGTACATGTACTTGTAGAAATAAATATTATTATTATTATTATTATTATAGGCCTTCAGATTAGTTTATGTCCTACATAGTAATCTTGAAACACAGATTTGTATTTGGATATAAAAAACATATGTAATAATCACCAGCATTTTAACAAACTGTTTTACAAGAAATGGAAGGCATTTACGTTTGATCCAAGGAAGGGGGAGTAAAAAAAAAGTTCCTTGGATCAAGAGCCCCTCACCTAGAGTGAAGGATAATTCCTGAAATACTCTGCCTAATAACAGACTTTCAGTAAAGTAATTTATACATGTCAATTACAACATTGTCAACTGTATACTGTACTCTATAGAAATAAAGTTATTTGCCTATTAATAGTCAAAAATAAAGTTTCACTTCTTTCCATTGGAATCCTAAGAGTCTTAAACCAATAAATCGCAGTTAATCACGACCAAATTACCTTAAAAAACCCAGTGTCCCCTAAAAATAATTCAACAATATTCGGTTATCATAAAAAATATCTTAAATTTTAATGTTTCATGACATTAATTATTTGTTATTGTTTTCCGACAGTCTTAATTGCCACTCCCACGAGTTATTTCTGTTATTATTCATTATTTAATCCCCTGAGAGAGCTGATATATTTCAATATATAATATGTTTGGTACCTGAGGAGGTGTTGCTGCCTGGGAGGCCAGAGGGAGGTTTAAATAAGGTGGATGAGGCCAGGTACCATAGTGATCCTTGACGCCATGACACACCTCTCTGTTTACTATGTGTACCCTCCCTTATGTTGGGTCTACCCTCCCTTATGTTGGGTCTACCCTCCCTTATGTTGGGTCTACCCTCCCTTATGTTGGGTCTACCCTCCCTTATGTTGGGTCTACCCTCCCTTATGTTGGGTCTACCCTCCCTATGTTGGGTCTACCCTCCCTTATGTTGAGTCTACCCTCCCTTATGTTGAGTCTACCCTCCCTTATGTTGGGTCTACCCTCCCTTATGTTGGGTCTACCCTCCCTTATGTTGGGTCTACCCTCCCTTATGTTGGGTCTACCCTCCCTTATGTTGGGTCTACCCTCCCTATGTTGGGTCTACCCTCCCTTGTGTTGAGTCTACCCTCCCTTATGTTGAGTCTACCCTCCCTTATGTTGGGTCTACCCTCCCTTATGTTGGGTCTACCCTCCCTTATGTTGGGTCTACCCTCCCTATGTTGGGTCTACCCTCCCTTATGTTGGGTCTACCCTCCCTTATGT